TGATTCGGGAGCCCCGATTCGGTTCTTATATATTTGTGAGCCACTATAATTTCAACTCAACGTAAATAATTGACAATACCATGATGTTTGTATGTGAATGCGGTCGTATTAGCGGGTGTGGATTTTAGTTTTATGCCAAAGCTTGTAAAATATTCATATATGACCAATTGTCGCATTTTTATTTGCCGGGCTAACAAAACTTTGTCATCCCAATTTTTCCTTTAGCGATCTGGCGTCTTTCAGCATATCAACTAATTTATTATTATTTAGAAAAAATATATAAGAACGTAGCACTTCATGGCCTCAAACTGTCACGTTCCATCATGAATTTAACAAAATTCATAAAAGGAAAGTACAATATGTGGCATTTATGCAGCGATGCTTAAGCCTCCTCAAACATTGGGGCAAGGAATGAACAAATAGGTTACATTTTATTCAACCCATTTAAAGTTATATGGCTCAAGTCTGGTCTCTCTCAGAAATAAGTAATTGTAAAGTAAGTGCATTACTTTTTAAAAGTAATTTGTAATTGTAATTAATGACTTTTCCCGTACTAGTAATTTTAATTGTAGTTAAACTACTTTTGAAGCAAGGTAATTGCAATTGTAATTAAATTACATTTTGAAAGTAATTTACCCATGTATGAAAGGAGGTGTGTTTTCTGCCATTTGTGACACAGTGAACAATATCAAAAGCAGAGAATGCCAATTCTTTCAACGTTAAAATCGTTGCACAGCTCCTTTAAGATGTGATTATTGTTATTCAAGTTAAGTTTTGAAGAAATGTCCAAACATGTATCTACGGGTAATTATGCCCTAAACTTGGTATTTCTTTTCGTCTGGTTGATGTATCGCATTTAAATTAACACTACAGACAGTACATATCATCGCCATCTGCAGAATACAAAATAATGTATTTATTGTTTTTTTCACGTTCAGGAATAAATTAACTCACGGGAAAAGATATCTAATATTATTCAAGTTCAGCACGTCATTAAAAAATAACCATTAGTTTTTTTCGCTTCACGTTCTTGGGACGTGTTTCTTTTAGCCTCTACACATTTTGATAGGAGAAACTTGTTTCGAAGTTCTTAGCCTCTGAATATGCAAGAATAGAACATTTCCGGCGGGTTCTTGATAGTTTTTTTTTCTCCAGCTTTTTATCCCCGCATTTATTGTTATGTTTATTTTTATTTATTTTTTTATCAATGGCACAGTCATTTAGGTCGAAAAGACATAGCTGTGAACTTCCGAACCACTAAGCATGTGGACAAGTAGTGCCTTCTGACAACGAGTTTTCGAGAATAACCATCTCCGCGATCTTTTAGGCAGTGAAGAGCGACAGTAAATATACATATGCATAAATAATTTCAGATTAAAATAAGCTCGACCACGCCCTCTTTCCCCGTATTGTTTTCTTTAGCATTCCGAAATATCTGGAAAGAGAAAAGAGGGCTGCAGCCCTCTTTTCTCTTTCTAGATATTTCGAGGAAAAGAGGTCTGGGTTGGGTCTATATATAGGAACCGTAACTCTCCGTGTCGCTTTGCAGAGCGCCTGAGAGATGGCGGTCGTGTGATCAGTGGTGCCAGTAGATATTATATCTTCGAAGTACACTCGGAAGGCATCCCAGTTTGTTACAGAACAAGTCTTGTGGGTGACAGGTTTTTTCTCTGGGGAAGTAATTATAATAGGGAGATGGTCACTGCCCCAGCTGTCGGGTTCGGCGAGCCAGAGCGCACGTACTGCAGCGGTGGCGAAACTCAGGCCGAGCACACTGTTCTCTACGCCAGGTCTCACAAAGGTTGCAGTGCCGTCATTCAGACACCGGAGGCCAATAGCTGTAGTGGTATCTTCTAGAGACCGGCCACGAGCGGACGTTTGCTTGTCCCCCCAGGCCTCGTTGTGGGCGTTAAAGTCCCCATTGTTTGCCGAGTGTCACATTAGTATCGAGTTGCAAGCGTAAAAGATCGGTCCCGAAGCGCGGTCCAACAGCGCGAATCCAGCACTTCGATCAAACGCGCGCGCGTGCGCTCCGAGTGTGAACAGGTATTTACGTGGCTCTTCCTGACACTCTCGTAGTTCAAACATATCTTTTTTTAACGTCGGCTCGCTCCTGCATCTCCGAGGCCGCGGAAAATGCCGCGGCAATTTGTTTCTATCTACGTCGCTTTGCAAACGACTGACACGGGCCATCTTTTACCAACGATGACAGTTGTGTTGACTTCGGTAGCGATCGAGTTTGTAGCAGCCAACGGAGGCGGTTACGCATCCCGGCCTCGGCATTCCGGCGCGTTTAAATCGACATATCACTGCACGGACATGAACCCCAGACAAGCGGTGGCGGAAGGGAACATCCCAAAATACACAGTATTTTGGGATGTTTTCAAACGGACGCTGAAAAAGGACTTTGACGTGGAAGAGGCAAACCTTCGCTACTTGCATTTCGCCGAACACCTCGATACCATTCAAGACATTTCAGTAGTACTAGGTCTTTACAGTTTGTGGAAAACGTGCACAGTGGATAATGACACAAGTGTCGCAAAACCACCCTGGGTAAATTATATAAATATTGCCATTGAAGTAGGTCAAGGTATATTGGCCTGCTGTGATGAAAACAATGACTGGAAAGATGTAAAAAATCGCAGTCGTTCCGCTAATATTATATAATCCATGACAACACCAGTCAATTTTGAAAGTGTAATTGACACCTTCCTTTTTATGGTGAGCGTTGTGCTCTTGTAAATCCCTAATATACAATTTAACGCAAATGCAACACACTGCTTGCAGAGAGTAATGCAAATGTAACACACTGGATGTATATAATGTAACACAAACATAATGCATTGCTTGTATATAATCTAACGATGCACTACTTGTATATAATGTAACAAACCAAATGAGTTGTTTAAACATGCTGTAAATAGACGTCTCTCCCTTTCTCTCTAAAAAAAAGAAAAGAAGCAATGTGTCGCGACATGTTGGAAAGACACTCGCTTAATGAATCGGATTCAATGCCCGCCTGGCGCAATATTTTTTTTTTTTTTTTTTACAGTGATGGTTTTTTGTCCTTTCCTTCTCTCTCTCTCCCACCCCCTCTCTCCTAAAAGAAATCCATCAGTGTGGAGCTTCCCGGCCACGCTTCACGAAGGGCCAAACACCTAGCCAAAGGGGTAAGTTGGGCTAGATGATGTAGCATTGTAAAAGGGTAAAAAACAGAGTGAAAAACGAAACACACAGAGATGGTGTACACACAGAGCACTCTGTGTAGGTGTACACCTTTTCTGTCCGTGTCGTTTTTCGCGCTGTTTGACCCTTTTACCTAGCCAGAGGATGTTTCCCAATAAAAACTACCCAAGGATAGTGACACTCAGTTGGTCGAACAACGTTTTAGTGAATGCAGAGTTTTCATCAAAAGATACTTTAGCAAATGGACAGCCGAAGCAGCGTTTACGGGCAGGCCAGGTGGATTAACATTTTCGTAATAAGCCACCTTAGACTGTCACCGCGATGCGGCGTGAATGCAGCAGAGAGGGTGGGTTAACACACGCCCCAGTAATTTGCTAAAACATAGACTCGCTCAAATGACCGCTGTTCGCTAAAACGTCATTCGCTCATGTGATAAAGACCCGAGTAAGGATATGAGAACGTCCCCTGTCCACATTGTGAAAACCAAACCGAAGGAAATGATGACACCCACCACACACGTTTTGTGGTACCATTGTTCATTGGTCTCGACGTTTAAGTTCACCAGCTTCTCCTCCGTTACGTGTATGTCGGTGATGCGCATACTAATAACCGCGTCCCACTAGAGTAACAAACAGCAACAAACGACACAAACACACGACAACAAGCGACAGACGACAAACAGGCTGTTTGTCGGGGTCCGATGTCCCACCTGGCAGACACGACGCAGAACATGAGGACAAGGAAACCTGTTTCCTAGTGGGACTGGAGTTGCCAAGAAAACACTTCAAAATACACAGACAAAGAGTGTCTTGCGATGCGGTTTTCGTGTTTTGCTCTTCAGGCGTAAAACGCGTCGGCAAACACCATGAAAGTGGAGACGATTACTTTATTTCTTGATTAAGGCTTCTGCTTATGTTAATTTGGCTTTCCGCAAACAGTCGTGACAATCAACACCAAACTTTTTCTGAATTAGAATCCCCGAATTGTTAATTTCCTGAGTCGTTCGAGGGATTCTAGGTGTGCGCCAAGGAATTTAACGCCGATTTTGAGGATGTTTATAACTTCATATCCGAATAATCGAGGGGAGGCATTTTTTGGGGGGGACAATATGGCGCCCCGATTATCACAAAAGCGATGACAAGTCTCTCGCCTCTTGGAATACTTGCCGTGGAACGTCGCGTCCTACTTCGTGGTGAATGGTATTACTTTGGTCAGTCCATGAACATGGGTGTATCTATTATGATGCAGAGGCGTAGACCTCGCCGTCATGAGGCAAGCACCACCTCGCGCACCAAGTTTTCGTGAGCAAAACCAGCCACAGCAAATTCCCTTTCGCAACACGACCGCCAGCAAGCAAGCCGCGCCAGCGACCACTACAAGCAATTGAGGGATCGGAACTGCGGGAACGATCAGTGGCCGCCAAGGACTTCTCTGAAGGTAGAGCAGCAGAGCGAGCCACGGGAGTTAGGGCAGAAGGTTGGGAAGAGAGGCAACAGAAGGTACAAGCGGGCGTCTCCGAGAGATGTCCCTCGGTGGGACGGCTTGCTGCGCTTCAAGTCCAACGACAGACAAGAACTCGTCCGTCGTCGATCGTTTGTCGGCGTTTATCGTGGGTGTTCGTCGTTACAGTGGGACAGCATCAGCGACACGGAACTTCGTGGTGTCGCCGGACAAAAATCTGTGTTTGTCGCTCTAGTAGGGCGAGGCTATGACACACCAACGGAGTTGCCCAACAAACTGTATTCCCGGGAACGTTTTCATGCGGTTCAGTTTGGTTTCGTCTTCTCTGCGGTAGCGTAAAAGAAATAGCGCACCTGAGCTGCCTTTGAAGGCATTGAACCGTCGCTTGCGCTGCGCATCGCTGCTTGCTTCTGGGCCGCAGAATCCATTTGAAAAGGAGTTCTGATGTCAAAGAGGGCGTCTTTCAGCTTCATGGCCGACGGCTGTGCTACTTCAGGAAAATCGCAATCTCCAAACCAGCTTTCGACGAGTTTATCATGAGATACAAACCACCCGCTTTCGCACGAACATAAAATCGCCATTGCAACTAAGCTACGAATCCAAAGCCAGCCAGCCAAAGCCAAAACAAGGCTGGCCCAAGCAACAAAGCCGCATGGTGGCCGCATGACTCAAAGCACTCAAAGCAAACATAAAGCGCATAAAGCACATAAATGCACTCTACGCAAGACAAGCCAGGACAAGCCGTGTGCCGTGTGTGTCACGTGCTGCTGGGTTTACAGCTACAGGCGAAGCTGGCTCATTGTTTTGCTCCGTTTAGCTTATTTGCTCGTACTTTTTGCCCGTACGCCTAGCGCCAACCGCTAGGATCGCTACATCCACTAAAATGACACACGGGTTTCTGTGACGTCATTTGCCGCCACTTTGGAACCCCAAGTATGTGTTGTGTCGGGACATGCGCACCAGGCCCATTGGGCTCGTATCGTATCGCGCGGGAAAATAAAGGCTCGAAGAATACCTCCATTGCCGAACCGGCCAACCCACAGAAATCCCGTAAACAGCGCGAGCGTGAACCTTCGCTTCAGTCAACGTTGGTTTCAGTGAGCGATTGGCCTGATGACGGCAAAATAATTGCATAACAAGTGAAACACCGTTCCAGGGTGTCCAGGGCCGGCAGGGACAAGGCGCGAGAGGGAGCATTTTCCCCTCTCTACACCGGTTTCGCTCAAGCAAGCAACCGTTCTCAGGTGAGTGGGCAGTATGGAAGCACCCCGGCTCCCCTTTGCCTTTCAACAGCGGGCCCTGATTTAACGGCAGCAGAAGTCCTGAATACGGCGCCAAGGATGACAGCAGCAAAGACGCGCCCTAGAAAACGAGCCAGTGGCAACGTCCGGAAAAAGGAGTCCGGAAAAAGCCAGCCTCAAGGCACCCGAACGCGACAGACGTGGCCCTCGTTTTTTCCGGCGAGGCTCGGGAGTGTGGCCGCTGTTGTGGCGACGTGGAGCGTGCTGCTTAGCTCGTCGTGCCTGGCCCAGGACCCTCAAGCCCTCCAGGCCCCGTTCAACATGGCAGGCATCCAGGGAGAAGTGCGCCTGGTGCCTGACCCCGAGGGAGTACGCATCACTGTGCGGCTCGTGGCACCGCCGGGAGAGTACGCGTGGAGCGTTCGCGAGATGCCCGCGCTCTTCGACTCTGCCAGTCCGTGCAACGACCTGGGACGCGCGCGGCACGATCTGACGCGCCGCCACGGTGCCCTGCAACTAAACGGGACAGAGCTGAGCTTCAACGACGATCAGCTGAAGCTGCAGGGCCCTAGTAGCGTATGGGGGACGCGCGGTGCTCGTGCAACAGCAAGCCAGCAAGCTCCAGGCGTGCGCCCAATTTGCTGCTGGACGACGGTGTCCTGCACTGGGCCGAGGCCCTATTCGCGGGTCCTCGCATTGCGGGCCGCGTGCTGTTCCTCGAGTCAAGCGCCAGCACTCTGGTGACGGTGCTGCTCTTCCAGGGCGGCCGCCACGCATCGCGGTACCGTTGGCAGCTGCTCGAAGCGGACGTGCTGGATGCGGCGCCGGGCTGCCGCTTCTTGCAGATGGTCTACGACCCGGACCGCGCGGACGGGGCCAATTGCAGCCGCACCGCGCACGACCAGTGCAAGGCGGGCGACATGAACGCCAAGCACGGCCCCCTGAACGTCGGCTCACCCAAGTCATCGCGACGGGCCGTGCTGGACACCCATCTGCCCGTGGGACCCAGGAGACTGTTCTTGGCACTTCACGAGGACACCCGCGGTACCTTCGCGGCCTGTGCCCCGCTCCGCGCGCTGAGCCCGCGCACCGTGCACGCACGCCTGCCCGAAAGCGACGCCCAGTTGACCTTCAGCCAGCAGAGCCCGTTCCAACCGACCCTGGTGCGAGTCAAGGGCACCTTGGGGACCTCCTTGAGGGTGCACCCCGCTCCCGGAGTGCGGCGGTGGCGGCGGCTCAGATGTCGTCCCGCCAAAGTCCGACCCAGTGGAGCTGATCCTGCCGGTGTCCCTGGAGCCCCGCCTGCCCCTCTCTTCGGCCCTCGGCGGATCGTTGGCCGCTGGCTATCCCTCACCAGGGACAACTCCTCGGTGTGCATCCGTGTCGGCTTTCCGGGGCCCACTCTCGTGGCACGGGCAGTGTTCCACTACCCCGGTCTCGGGAGAGGTGTTGCTGCGCCAAGACGCCCAGGACCCGCAGTCAGAGACTGCAGTGTACCTCAAGCTAGACCCCTTTGGCTTCAACGACACCATCCAATACAAGCTGGTCCTGCACCAGCGTCGTCCGGGCCGAGACTTCTACAACTGGACCATGCGCTGCGTGAGTGCGGGCGACACGTACGACCCTCTCAAGGTGGGCTCCGGCCCGTGTCCACACCCCGCTGCTCTGCCCCATCGGCGACCTGACGTCCAAAGGCGCCAAGCTGTCAGGCCGCCACTCCTTCTACACGGACCTGCACCTGCCATTGTCGGGGCCCCACAGCGTGATGCAACGGTCGGCCGTCATACACGACGTCGGAGCTCCGGCCCACCGTGGCGACCGTCTGGCCTGCGCTGCGCTCCTGCCGCTCCACCCCCGTCACGGCTGCCGTGCGCCGCTGGCTGCCGGGTGCCCAGAACCTCACGGGCTACTTCGTCTGGCGGCAGGACAGCCCCCGAGGATACTGCCAGCGTCCAAGTCCGGCTGCGCGGGCTCGCCCGTCAAGCGAGTGCTTACCGTGTCCACGCGCTGCCCGTGCCCCTAGAGCAGCACTTCCCGTGCAAGGCGGTGCGAGAAGCCCACGGTGGCACTCTCGAGCTGAGCGCCCGCTACGGCGACCTCAGTGGCAAGACCGACGAGTCTTTTAAGGCGCTCGACCCCCAGCCTGCAGCTCTTCGGCAAGGACAGCGTCATTGGCCACTCCGTGGTCATCCAAATGGGAGACCGCCGCTCGGCATGTGGCAGCATTCTGCCAGAGATGGAGGCCAAGAAGGGCCGGGAGCTTGTGGCCATTGCCTCGTTCGACCACCCAAAATTGGCCCTCCAGGGCTACATCAGGCTTGTAAGCTGTGTGCACACCCTTCTTAATGATAGATGCCTGATGCCTGCTGCTCTTATTTGCAGCGTCAGCTCGAGTACAAGGACGGGGGAATGAGTGACACCTACATACTAGTTGACCTGCGCCACCCAGGGAAATATGACCGCAACCAGGTTAGACAACTTCCTTGCTCCCATCAAAATATATATATATATATGTGCACTTACACAAAACATATATGGGCCTGAGGAACAGGGGGGGGGGGGGGGCATGGGGGTATGCTTGCCCTCGCCCCCCCCCCCCCCCCCCCCCCCCCCCAGTTCAGTTCAAACAGCTCAGAAATTTAATGGAAACAATACAGAGTGGGTGCGAAATTGCTGTCTGCCCGCCCCGCCGCCCCCCCCCTCCCCCCCCCCCCCCCCCCCCCCCCTTCCCCGAATAGTTTAGACGCCTCTGCAGAGGAATAAGTAACAGTGGCATAGCTAGGGTAAGAGCTTATGGGGCTTCAGCCCCCCTGCCTCCTCAGCTTGACTCTATAATATACACATGAATCTTGAACCCCCTCCAAAAAAAATTCGTGGCTGCGCTACTGAACTGTAATAATAGAACAAAAGGTTCCTGGAGTTTCTCGTCCCAACCACAGTTCACTAACAATACATATTGCAAATCAAAGTTTGAAATAAAAAGAATGAAAGGCGCTTACAATTATCTGCAATGCCGAATTACAGCGCAGCTCTTGAGGGTAGGGTATGCCCCTCCTCTTCTGCTCCCCTCCCATTTAGCAGGAAATTTTCGCTAAATTTAGTGGGGAATTTTTTCCACTAAACGTAGCGGGGAAATTTTCCCTCTATATGTAACGTGGAAACTTAGCGACAATTTTCCTGCTAAATTTAGCAAGAGATTTTTTCACAACGCAACGCATGCTTGCATTATTCCCATAATGCACCCCACCCCGTTCAATTACCCGTTCAAGTCGGAAACGAGCGCCTAAGAACTGCGCT